TTTTACAGAATAATGTAAAATTTTGCACAAACTTCGATGACCAAATGTGAAATTAGCTTAAAACAAAATAAAAAAGGGACTTAAATTCCATGCCATGTTCACATGCGCAGCTTAAGGTACACTGATGTGTGACTCTTCCCATCCATTAGACTCTTAAAAACCTCAAGGAAATGAAGAGGCACGATCTCAAAAACGATGAAGGTCAAATTTAAATTTAAAGAAGAGATCATAAAATTTGCAATTCTAATTATTTTCCTTTTCTTTTTCATGAACGTGTACAAGCATATAACCAAAAAAAAAATCAAGAAATGGAATAGAATTTTTACATGGTGTGTAGAGGTAATTCTTCTATTCTTATTTCTGTTTTGTTCAGTTCCTTAACCTTAATTAATTAATTGCATTCCGATTTTCTCTCCCAATTTAAGAAACTCAATATTATGTTACCTTTTCAAAAACTCGTAGAAATTTCTTATTTTTTCCTTGTAAAAGTGACATAAAATACAGGAATCAAATTCAAATCTTCTTGTTTCTTTATTTAGAAATGAATTTTTCTTCTTCGTTTAAAAAATCATTGAAATCCCATGGTTCGTATAAGCACACAAGAAGAATTTCTCTAGGTACTTCCATAGAAGACATAAACACCGAGCAACAGCCTATTCTCTCCGATCATCAACGTGATTCATCCACCTCCGCCGCCGTAGACATTGCCGACCGCCGGGAAGTCATAGTGAATCGATGGCGGATATCGAAACGCCAGCGCCACTCCTACCCTCACCCCAAATAAGCGGGAATCAAGCTTAGATTTTTGGAGAGACGAAGGAAACAGCAGCATGCAATTCGATTTCCAACGTGGAGATGGGAAGGACGTGGTTGAAGATCCACCTTCGAAATTGATTGGCCAATTCTTGAATAGGCAAAGGGCCGCCGGCGGAGAATTATCATTGGATATGGAATTAGAAATGGATGAATTACGACATGATCATCGTAAAACCAGCATTATTGATAATGCTCCTCGTTTTTCAATGTCCAAGGAGCTGAAGGTTTCATTCCAATCTCCTTCCGTGAATAACAGAACTAGTTGTAATGTGGTTGATATCGTGCCTGACGAGCAAAATCAAAGTACAGATGAGGATGAATCTTCTTCCGAAGAAGAAGATGATGGACATGATAATCAGAAACTTTATAATAGAAGGCCACAGTCGAACATCAAAATGGAAGGTAGTGTTCGTAATGGCATTGGTGATGATGGTCAGGTTTTGACGTGCACGTCGATTCAGAGGAGGGCTAGTGTGTTAGGAAGGTTGAAGACTAAGTCGAGGTTGATGGACCCGCCCGTGGTTCCAGAGAGAAGGTCAGGGAAGATAAAATCCGATCCACTTCGTTCGGGGTTATTGGGAAGGGTATCGGGAATCATTTCGAAACCAGCAGAGGAAGAAGAGGAGGATCCATTGTTTGATGAAGATTTTCCTGATGAGTATAAGAAGGCAAAGTGTGATGCACTAACTTTGGCACAATGGATTAGTCTTATTTTGATCGTGACATCCTTATCTTGTACCATGTCTATTTCTAAGTGGAAAGGTAAACAACTTAGAGGGCTTAGATTGTGGAAATGGGAGGTATTGGTTCTTGTTTTAATTTGTGGGAGATTGGTATCAGGATGGGCTATTAGGATAGTTGTTTTCTTTACTGAGAGGAATTTTTTTATGCGAAAACGGATTTTATATTTCGTTTATGGAATTAGGAAAGCTGTTCAGAATTGTATTTGGCTGGGATTGGTTTTACTTGCTTGGCACTATATGTTTGATAAGAAAGTTGATGGGAATAATGAGTTCCTTAGATATGTTAACAAGTTGATGGTGTGCATGTTGGTGGGAACATTGTTATGGCTAGTGAAAACACTTATGGTTAAAGTTCTAGCATCTTCATTTCATGTTAGCACTTTTTTTGATAGAATTCAGGAATCACTGTTCAATCAATTTGTGATTGAGAAGTTGTCGGGGCCGCCTTTGATTGAAATACAGAATCACAAGGAGGAAGAAGAGAGGACTATGGCTGAGATTTGGCGGCTTCAAAATGCAGGGGTGACTCTGCCCCCGGAACTCAGAGCACAGGCTATTCAGGATGCTCAGAGTGGTAATATGATGGGAACAGGAGGTGTAAGATTGCCACCAAAAATTGGTGGTGGAGGAGTAAGCTTCAAGATATCTGGACCATTACCTAAGACTAACCAAGATGATCAGGGCATATCGATTGATCACTTGCACAAATTAAATCCTAAGAATGTATCTGCTTGGAATATGAAGAGGTTGATGAATATAGTCAAGAATGGGGTTCTTACCACCTTGGACGAGCAGGTTATTGATAGCTCACAAGGCGATGAGGCTTCTACCCAGATTGGGAGCGAGCTAGAAGCTAAATGTGCAGCAAGGAATATATTCAGGAATGTGGCTCAACCTAGGGCCAAGTAAGTCTTCACATCACCATCTTGGCAAAAATTCTCGCAAAGTTAGTACAATCTAAAGTAGAATGCAGATTTATTAACTTGAGTTTCACAGATCCTGATTTTCCATAGCGGTCATTTCTCGTCTCTCCAGCTTGATCCAAAATTAGTTGTCATATGAAGTACAATTGTTTATCCTCTTGTATTTATAGCAATACGATACAAGTACATTGGGATAATATTAATAAAATTTGTTCTCTGTCAGGTTCATCTACCTTGAGGACTTAATGCGTTTCTTGCCAGAAGAGGAGGCTTTGAAAACCATGAACCTTGTGGAAGGATCACCCGAAAGTGTAAAAATCAGCAAAGGGTGCCTGAAGAACTGGGTGGTATGTGCTAAGTAGTTGATCAATTATCTCAAAAATTTCGTTTGTACATATTCTTTAGCATTTTCTTGAAGCATGGCTCTAAATAGAGTGATGTATCATTGTGTTTATGGCCGTTTCTTTAGGTTAATGCATTCAGAGAACGACGAGCTCTTGCCTTGACACTAAATGATACTAAAACAGCCGTGAAAAAACTTCACCAAATGGTGAATGCCATAGTTGGTATCATCATCTTGATCATTTGTCTCGTAATACTGGATATTGCAACGAGCAAGTTTCTGCTCTTTGCAAGCTCTCAAATAGTCGTTGTGGCATTTATTTTCGGTAATACATGCAAGACAATATTTGAAGCTATCATATTTGTATTTGTAATGCATCCTTTCGACGTGGGTGATCGGTGTGAGGTGGATGGAGTTCAGGTATACCCTTAATTATCTTTTTCTCTCTTTATTTCATATTTGATTCCAATTCACTAGGACATTTTCAAATCCATATCCTTAATTTGACAAATTTCAGATGATTGTTGAAGAAATGAACATCTTAACTACCGTCTTTTTGAGATTCGACAATTTGAAGGTATTATATCCAAACAGTACCCTTGCAACCAAACCTATCAGTAATTTCTATCGAAGTCCTGATATGGGCGATACCATTGATTTCTATGTGCATATTGCTACACCGGCAGAGAAAATTGCTATCATGAAGCAAAGAGTAGTGACGTAAGTATTAACGAGTATTAATGCCACTTCTTTTGGCCTTTTGAATTTGAGTTTGCTTCATTGTACTAAATAGTTCAGTGATTCAGTTTATTTTAAGAAACTAAAGTCAATTAAGTCATCATCATTGACTAACCATGTTTGATGCCTGTATCCCGCAGTTATATTGAGAACAAGAAAGATCATTGGTACCCATCACCATCTGTTGTGTTGATGAATATAGAAGATTTGAACAAACTGAAACTATCTGTATGGATAAGACACAGAATGAACCACCAGGATATGGGAGGAAAGTGGCAGAGGAGAGCCCTTTTGGTTGACGAAATGATTAAAATTTTCAAAGAACTTGACATTGAGTATCGTTTGTACCCTCTCGACATCAACATTCGCACAATGCCTCCTATAAACTCCAGCAGGCATCCTTCAACAGGGACTCCAAGCAATTGAATGGAGATTTTTAAATGCCTTTAATATTTGATAGATAGGCTGATGGTACAATATAAGAAGATTTTTATTCTTCTACAATCCATTATGGGCCATTAAGGTTTTAGTTTGCACAATCCCTTTTGCTAGCTTTCGGATACGTGAGATTTTTCATTTCCTCCTATCTTCTAGCAGATGATTTTGCACCATTAGTACACTTGTTGGAGGATAGTATTCTAAGGAGTATCCTTCATGGGATTTAAGAGAGAGAATGAATTCAAATATTGATTTTCATCACATAAGCATTTACTATATTTGATAAAACATTTGCCACTCTTTTAAAAATGGATTTCTTGGCTCGAAAGGTTATGTGAAAAATTTAATGAGAACCAACTAATATTTTTAAAGTTGAAAGCAAGTGTCATATAAAAAAGCGTAAATTGGGTGGGGCCAGAGAAGCGCCTGCACTGGCTCTGTGTTCGACCACTGATCTCAATAATTTTTCTGGTCTTTTAGGGCTAGGGCCTTACTACTTGTACATCACAATGTATATTGGGGTGTACACCCCCTTCACATAGGGGTGGGACTTGCTTAAATAAAAAAATATTTTAGGCAGTGGGTCTCACCCCCCATATGAGAGGAGTGTAGTCCCTTATATACAAAAGTTGATGTACAAGTAGAATTTTGGGAATATCTTCCAATAAACACAATGCGTTAACATAGAAGTCGCATCAACCGCGGTTAAAGAAGTGGGCCGAACCTCATGGAATGTAAATGGACCGTGACGTCATAACATTACACTCGTGGGTCCCAATATGATCTTTCGATAAATTCTTCAAATTAAAATTCGTATGCAACAGGACTCATATACATGAAGGTTTCTGATGAATGTGGTTTGATTAAACCCTAATTGTCTACATTTTTATCGGAACAATTATGAATATTAAACACCATTACTGTTAGTAATAACAGAACTTTTCCGTTTATACGCATATGCTAGACTGAAATTCTGTATATTTTTTGGTTTTGGGGATTATGGCGAGAAAGAGGGTCGGAACGAGCCTCGACGCGGCAGTCGTTGATATTTGGAAACGTGAAGTCGGCGCGTTATCCACCCGAAACTTCGCCCACCGTTTTGCTGCTTCCGAGGTTTTTTCCTTATTTACCTTATTACTGAATTCTTCTGTGAGTCATTCTCAATTTGATTTATTTAATTGATGGATTTTTTAAGCTTATTTTTGTGCTTTGAGGTTGCTTGGGTAGCATTCCTTTGGGATCTCAGAATTCGAGTTAGAAATTATCTTATTCAATTTCAACTAATTTACACAAAGTTACTCTTTTTAGTGCATGGGTTGGGTCAAGTGTCTAATTGACAACGTGATTTTAATATTTGGAGTTCGGTAGTGAGAATTTGCTATTAACCCGAAATTTAAAACGTGAGCATTCCCGACATAATTGACTTTGTTGGGAACTTCTTTGAAAATGACATGATGTACTGTTGAATTATTTGTTGCAAGCTTATTACCATATAATCTCTTCATCCCAAATTAATTACCCCTTCTCCTTTTCGGTTGAAATGTATCAAAATTAAACTTTTCTTCAATCAAACATCCTTTCTTCCCGCTTCTTTAATAACAATTCCCTTTTCAGTTTGTACATTTTAAAGTTCAGACTTAGTTCTGCATGTTAATTTATGTCAAAAATCAAGGGACAAAACTGGAAATGGATAAACACATTTGATTTTCAGCTCCAACTTAAATGACTATGGCAAGTCATACCATGATTTTCAGTTTGGGACACTGGAGTATTTTCTCATGGCATCTTCAATTGCAAGCTATAAGGAAATTAGTTATTTTGCATATGTGAATTCTTATACTCACATTTCTTTTGCTGCATTTTGATACCAGGATCTTATGCTTCGTCTTGATATCCTCCTGAAGCTTGAGAAGCACCGAGGCTGCGTGAACACAGTTAGCTTCAATGCTGATGGTGATGTTCTTGTATCAGGCTCTGACGATAGGAGGATCATGCTCTGGGATTGGGAAACTGGTCGTGTTAATCTCTCTTTTCATTCAGGCCACCACGATAATGTTTTCCAAGCAAAGATCATGCCTTACACTGAGGATCGAAGCATTGTTACCTGTGCTGCTGATGGGCAGGTTTGACCTATTTTCAGTCTATGGACAGATGAGGTCAACGTCAACCCATCGAAATGTTTACTTGTATCATCAAAGTTGTGCACCTTAATAACAATTGGAATTGATCTGAAAGTTTTGTAATTGAATAGGTGATATCAGTCACTAATGGAAAATATTTGAGAAAAGAAGTTGGATTATTTATGCATGTATGTAATTCCGTATTTTGAACTATAAAGTTTTGAAAGATGATTATATTCTTACGAGGAGAGTTCTTAAATATAGGTAAGGCATGCTCAGATCCTTGAACGAGGAGAAGTGGAGACTAAATTGCTTGGAAGACATCAAGGACGAGCTCATAAGTTGTCCGTTGAGCATGGAAGCCCTCATATTTTTTATACCTGTGGTGAAGATGGAATGGTTCAGCATGTAATTTGATTTATTCTTATCTAATTTTGTCGCTTTTTTTTGTCTTCTTTAGTTCTTTCATTACAAAAATCTTGTTGGCCATTGGACTTGTATGCTCGTTTATTTTCTGAAAGACTGAAACCCCTGTGAAAATTCATTTATTGCATAGTTTTTAATCCTGGTTTAAAGGTCCACCAATGGAGCATGCAACATATAGGTTGCGGCGGTCTGAAGTTCCTCCCACCTCGTTCCACTTCTTGTTTACTTTTTCTTTTTGAAAGGAATAAAGGCTATTGGAAAATTTTCATAACCTGATTGTAATACATGACCAGCATATGTCACATTTCACATGACAAATGATACTAATATTGATACCTTTTTCGTAACTTTCCATTGGCTGTTTGAAGTTTACAAGTTTAATAGTGTGAAACCATTTTCAACAGATTGATCTGAGAACTGGAACTGCTGCAGAACTTTTTACTTGTCAACCTATCCAGAGCCAGAGATTTATGTCCATCGTCCATCTAAATGCAATTGCAATAGATCCAAGAAATCCTAATTTCTTAACTGTTGGTGGATCAGATCAGTTTGCTCGGTTATTTGACATCCGTAAATGTCAACCTTTTGATTTCTTTAGTCCCCTGCATTTAGTTGATGATGATGATGTGGGAATAACTGGGGTGGCATTCTCTGAACAGAGTGAGCTTCTTGTGTCTTACAGTGATGAGTTCATCTATCTTTTCTCTAGGGATATGGGACTTGGACCTGATCCACCTTCTACCTTTCAAGTCTTCCATGGCAATGATTCTGGGTATACGAGCCCTGTTAATCATTCAGTTACATCTTCATCAGACATGGATGCCAATAGAAAAGTATCTCCTGAGGCCTACAAAGGGCATAGAAACTGTGAAACTGTGAAAGGCGTGAGCTTCTTCGGGCCGAACTCTGAGTATGTTGTGAGTGGATCAGATTGTGGTCGAATTTTCATTTGGAAGAAGAAGGGTGGGGAACTCATTCGTGTTATGGAAGCAGATAAGCATGTGGTTAACTGCATTGAGTCTCATCCTCATGCTATGGTGCTTGCCAGCAGTGGGATAGAGAGTGACATAAAAATATGGACTCCTAAAGCTATTGATAGAGCTACTTTGCCAACAGACATTCAAAAGGTATGTGATGATTTCAAAAGCAAACCCACCTTTGTCATAATTCTTAATTTTGTATCAGTAATGGAATCTATTGTAGTGAGTGAGGAAACTTTGTCATAGTAATATATAAATTAGGAGTACTACAAATTAGTAAACTGTCATAGTGATTTGTTAATTAGTGCAGTATTCAGAAAATGCATCCCTGCACTCAATTGGAATATACAGATGGTCGTATCATTCGGTTTGCCTTCTCTATAAATCTGATGCTGCAAATTTAGTATACTTTGAGAAGTTGAGAATCCATTTTCATTCCGGGCTGCTCACTGATTGAAATCAACTTTATTGTTCAACTAGAGATCTGGCTGTTGCCATTATTTGAAAGATTCACAGCATATCTCTACAGTAGCTGGGTTCTTATATCTGGTTATCTTACTATGTAACGACGTCATTCTCTGTGGAACTACACTATGATCAAAGAAATGCAAATCAGTGAAACTTGCTAATAAATTGTTAATTTTAAACTTGCATTTTAAAATGTTGTTTTAGATTACATCTCTGTTTTCATGACAGAAGAGGAAGTTCTTATGTCTCTGTATTAATTTGTAGGATAGAGTCCTGAACTTTACCCCTCGTCTATTTGGTTTCTTTCCTTCCTTCGGTTTCTTTGACAACGGCGAAAGTGATGGTGACGATGATGATTATGTTACTGACGACGAAGACGAAGACGAAGACGAAGATGAAGATGACGATGAGGTTGAGACTGATGAGCCGGAAGAAGAGGAAGATAGGGAAGAGGACAATAGTGATGATTTTATTTTCCTTCGAGATATTGATGAACATGATAATGAAATTGATGGTTCAGAAGATTTATACGACGATGAGGAAGAAGATGCCAGTGAAAGCGAGGAGATTGACGATGATAATGACAGTGCAGATTCTGGTGATTGATGATTATAGTGAATTTGGGGTGTTGATGGTGACTTCGATGACCGATGATGGATTTAATTGATGGTGAAATTGACAACAATGAAGGCGATCTTGTTAATTGTGTTGCTGATAATTTTGCACTTCATATTTCTAGCAAAGACCCAAACCAAAAGCTTGAACTTACCACACAGTTTCTCCTCTGGACCTGCTGTTGCACTTGTTTTCCCTGCAAAGGAAACGGAGGACAAGCGCAGAGGGCAATGTGGAGAATTCAGATGTGTGATAAGATCGGCTGCAGCTGCTTCTCACATGTAATACCAAGTATGATGGAGATACCACCACTAATAAAGACATTTCTATTTGAATGACGATGGAACAACCATTTTAGGTCTGTCCAAAAAATTCAGAAATTGTACATTGATTAGTTTAAAAATATAATAGTGTGTGCCTTCTGTTTTTCAATACTTATCTGTTCCCTTTTTATTAGCTCATGTATTTTCCATCTATCGTCATATCTTCTTATTTTCGTGGGCTTGTCTCACTTGGACATTTGGGCATGTTGTGGTTTGGCTTTCGATTGCAATAATGAATAATCTGTGTGTAACTCAATACAGACAAATGGTGCAGAAGTTTTAAATAGTAGAAACTGTTCTTATCATCAATTGTTTTACAAATCAATTTTAGTGAAATTCATATCGCATGTATATACTATGATGTATATACAAACTTAATAAATTGAAATCGAACCATTATATACACTTCCAATTTTCGATCTTCTCAAATGCACTTCATGAATGAAACTTTATACCAAAGTTGGGGCTGGGCAAGTATTCCGATTTAGGCCTCTGTTCACTTCTCTGTCTTTTGGCATTAAGGGAACAATCTTTATCACTATACTCAGAATGAATCCTATAAACTGCACATAAAAACACGTGATTATGTGAATAAAAGCTTGAACAGCTGCCAATTAAAAGACTATTAGCCTATAAAGTGAATGTCCTTACCCAAGCAAGTCCAATGCACATAATACTGAAACCGGGGAAATTGAATGGAGCTCTCTCAGACAAAAACAAAGCTGGAAAAAGGCACAGTGTTTAGGAGTAATCTAGCAATTGAGAGTTTTCGTCACGACAATGATAATTTTAAATCACCTGAAAGAGGGCTATATATTAATGGAGAGATGACATTGGCAAATGATGCTATTCCCAAAAGGCAACCCTGAGCAATCCCCTATTAATGGAAAAGTGGATCACCAGTTTAAAGAAAAATTCATCAAGTAATTATGGTGCACTTGTGTACTCGAAAACTTACTTGTTCACAGGGTCCAACTTGTTTTGAAACAATGCATCTTATCTGTAAGTGTAAATTACATTTGTCAACATGTCAACGACATAGTAGTCGAAATAGATGAGTAGAGCGTGCTCATATTATAGTATATGGAACTCACACTTGGGCTTGCGAGGAAAAGGAAAACACTCAACCAAGCAGCAACATAGGTTACCTGCAGATGGCAAAACACAATGACAAAAATGATGCATTGCAACATTACAAGAGTGTTGGTCATCAAAAAGAAAAAAAATTTGTAGCAAAACTTGCAATCAGATTATTGAATGAGAAATAGCCGAGGAATTACCCAAGACGACCAGGCTATGCTGTAAAGTAGCATCTGCAAAAAACCAGACGACAAATGATCAAATATGTATTTTGTTATGTACCCCAACCCCCCCATGTTTGGAGAAAAAGAAAAGAGATTCAGAAGGATGAAACTATACATTCAGGAATCCAGCAAAGAGTCCTACAGAAAGCAGTATCTCCTCTCCTATAATAGGACCCAATATGGGCATGAAGATCATCTGCACAAATTCTCAAATTTTAATACGTCAATATGTGAAGCCAGAAGTAAAGACTAAAATAAACGAAAAGAGGAAATAACTTCATATAATAATTAGGAAAAATGAATCAGCAATGAATCATTTGACAATACATTTGATACGGTCGCTCCAATGTAGGTAATGAGCCATATATCAGCAAATTGATCTTTTTTGAACTGGAAGCGTGCCTTTAAGAAATACTGCAGGGGAAAAGTACGAATACGATAAAAATAATATTTCATTCAATTCAGACTTATCATATGCTAAGTATACATGATATTAATAACCAAATTCAATGCTATCAGAAGCACCATTTCAACCAAAGTTCTCATAGAGTCATAAACAATGGCTTTAAGTAAAAAGAAGAAGAAAATATTTTAACAACACGTGTACAATCAATATCTATGATGTTACTATACATGCCCAATGATGCATTTGAGCAATAACCACGATAAAGAAAGAGAGTACCATTAAGAAGGCTTGGACTCCAGCCTCTGCAAGGCTATTGAAGAAAGCAACAAATGCTGCTACCGAAAACGTAGTGCTGCAGTAAGAGGATTGCAAGATGAATGACCATTCTTTTAGCACATCCAACAAAATAATTATTACTCAGAAAAACTACATTCCAATTAACACGAAAGGGTAAAAACAATATAGTACTTCTAGAAGAAAATGAACAGTTGACAGTGGAGATGAATAAAGAGCTCTGTGTCCATCATAGTCAATAAAAGTGACATGCATAATGGAATTTCTTGAGTCTTGGAGGTGTCGAAATGTTAATACAAAAGAAAAGTTCAAGGACATGTTATCCTACCTGCTCTTAAGCAAGTGAATGATATCCTTTGGTGATGGAATTTGCTTAAAGAAGTCTATCTCCCTTAATGATTCACAACCAACTTGATCTCTATCGGTTTCTGGCTTCAAGATTGGTTCCTCCAAAACATTAGTGTGGGGAGTGAGATCCTTAAGAAATATTCTCATGTACACTGCAGCAGCAATGGATACAGCTGCTGCAACCTGAATGAATTGAGTTACACCTTATTAGCATTGAAAACGTACTAAGCTTGGGTTTAGCCAAAACACAGTAGTCACTTACAACCAAGTAAAATGAAGGAAAGTTAATTCAAATAACAAAACGAGGAATATGAACTGTCAGGAAGAAAGACCTGAAATATCTGGGCAGTGGACAGTAAGCGAGCAGCGAAGGTACTACAAAGAGATGCACCCGAAACTACACCTGCCAGGACTCCAAATGCAGAGACTCGCTTTCCCTCTGTCACACTGTCTGCCTGGAAAATGTTAACATGATAGCCAAGTTATTACATAAATATTTCCCAGTTAGAATTCAATATGTTTATTGTTAATAATGCACTCCCTTAGAAATCAAGCAGGCATATACCAAAATTTAAGCAATACAAAATAGCAGTCATCTTAGCTCGTATGTAATGATTCTAATTACTAGATTTTTCTTATGATTTGGCAGGTATGTAATTTCATTACCACATTCTAGATTTTCATAATTTTGATTAATGTAAAATACGTAGATAGATCAAAAAACATGATGTAAAGCTAGAGTATGGAATTATAGCAAGATGAAAGAATGAAATAAACTAAAGCATCATATTCAAAGGATAACTGAAGACCTACAGAAGGGAAAAAAGAAGCTTGCTTGAGTTTGAGATAATCAGTAGGATCCCAGCCTAGAATTTCAAAAGAAGTAATTCAAATTGAACAAAATCATTTTTGATTTCGATTCCAAGGCCCAAATTAACCACTACCAAATAGCATGTGACTCCTAAAAGTTTCCTCTTGTATTTTAACTTCATAAATTTTCTTTTGGCAGAAGGCAAGGGTAGCATAGATAAACAGGATAAGAGAAGAAAAGCATGTGGAGAATTATATGCATGAAGAAATAGAGAAAGGTATAGAATTACCAAATAACCAAGAGAAATGCACAGAACACCGCCTTCGCAAACCATGGCTGTTATAGTCTTTAATACATAATATGCGTAGAAGAAGCTCGTTGTCCTCTCCCATGCCAGTATTGCTGCATATACGTGGACAGTTTGTGTAAAAACATTGATGTAAACCATGAACAAGAAAATATGAATTACTGTTTCTAAATTAATCTGCTTGGGATTTCATGTACAAGTTTCAGGCTAATAACCAAGTAAAGTTTAAGTCATGCTATATTTTAAATCCATAAGATCAATGTAGAAGACACTAATATTACTAAAAAACTGCAAATGAAATTATAATATTCGCACCTAATGGGATGATGGAGAGAGTCATAGGAATGGTGAGCAAAGCTTTCCGTCCATACGCATCTGACATATTTCCAATCAGTGGCATTATGACCACAGACCCCAATCCTGCAATCTGCATTCAGTACATGTAACATTAGAAGTTCGTAAATTGTTCTATCCCAACTTATTTGATATCTTGACCCAGAGACATTACAGCTTCTTTTAGATTTTGTCACATAATGCGTCACGAATTTGCCAGAGGATTCACTTATACTCTCTTTTATTACCTTACGTTTGCTATTTTTTATCCACACATTTAGAGGGATCATTTAAATTAAGTTATAAATTAAACGGTTTCGGAAAACGTTCCCAAACATGAGACATCAAGTGGTAAAAGTTCAGAACCAGTCGTTGCCAGATCTTCAACCATCCGCCAAACATAAAAGGATAAAGGTCTTATGCAGGTAGAGTTTTATGCTCATCTTTCATTAACAAGCCAAAATTTTGTTACTATAACGTCTGTTCTATCCTTTCTCTATATAAATCAAACTTCGACAAGAAAAAATCAAAAATATTCATCTTCTTCTCAAACATCTCCCAACAACCCGACACGTGATGTATAGAATGATTGCTGAACAATTCTTATTTTAATCAAAGTGAACATTTTAAAACAAAATGCGACAAATGAAAAAACTACAGTAAATTTGTTTTGAAAACGTTAATTCAAGTTGATTAAGCCATCTCTTATTATAGATTAAGATTATCCGGTAGGTATACAGATATATTTTAATATTCTCCATGTTTATATTGGATATTTTATTAATAATTAAATAAGCTAGCTGGAATTAACAAAAGGATTGATTTCTTGATAATCTAATTAATTAATTAATTTGCCACTGCTGACACATTCTCAATATTTTTTGTTACTTTTATTTTTTAGTCAAAAGAAAAAAATTCATTTATTTTTATTCCAAAATAATTGCATCGGAGGTCCAAAAACTATATTTCTACAACCATTATTTCCAATCTTTCAAGTTTGTAACAAGTTATTCTTCAGTGGAAGGTTTTTATCCACTTACCATTTAAGACACGTGATCTTCACGTGTTTGATTTTTTTATCAGATAAAATGGTTGGACACTCGATTCAATAAAAAGAAAGAGAAAATATATTTGTAGAGAGGATGATCTTTTTTCCTTTTGTTTTAATAGAAATTGATGCTATTTCCAATAAAATTAGACTTTTAACCAGTGTGGAATGGATGTAAATCTTTTACGAGGGACTAATTTGTTATAAACTTAAAAAATTGGAGAGGACTCTTGCAAAAAGAATGTTGGGAATCAACCGTTACATCATGAAAAGATCGAAGTGCTATTTTCAGATGATTACGTGATAGGTTAAGTCCATGCAAAAGTTTCCATTTTTCATTAGGAAGCCAAGTTTGATTCAACTCTGGTCGAAGTGCTATTCTTTATCTCTTCCCAGAATGCAGAAAACAATGCTCTGTAGGAGGTTATTCAACTCTGGTGATTGTGTTAACAAGAAATAAAAGAGAGAAATATGTGCTGCCATTTGGAGGCAATTGCTGAGATTTATCTCTCTTTCTGGTGCAAGTTAATGCATAAATGTAATTGAACGTACCGCTTGTTGGAAGCCGGTGAGGTAAATTGCGAGAGAACACTCGTCTTTACCGGGACATACTGCCTCCATTGTCACGTCTGCAATCGCCAGGTTCACCACTAAGGCCGCAAAATTTGCCAGAAACACTGTCACAAATAGATGAACTAAATTCCCCCAGTTCTCCATTTCTCTCTTTTTCTTTCTTCTCTTTCTCTCTGAAGGTGGCTAAGCTTGTTTATATTTATATATAGTGATTTCTCAATGTTATACAGATTTTAAAAATAATAATAGTGCACAAGGAATACGTATTTTTTGGTTGCATGAACAAATCCTATTTCTTGAAAAAATATTGTATATACGATAGTTGACATTGACCCTCTCTATACTCTTGTAACAAGTTCAAACATCAATGGTATATTGGTTGGAGGAAATTAATTAATTCTTATCCATCTGTTAATTGTATATTAAATTACAATTTATAAATGTCAAGTTGATGCGTGTGTCCCTGAACTATGATATATATTAATTTTAAGGGCAGTTTTATTGGATGTTCAACAAATAGCGCCAGAGTCAATGGAATTTGGTATGCAATTAATCATTCAAATTAGGTAAGGCGGATAGTGATACTCTGATTCTATACGTTCTAGGTCAAAGTCATTTTGAGGGAGTACGATGTTTTATTTTTATCTTGTCAATAGTCATGTTACAAATTTACATTGAAAAACGATCGATTTCTTGTACTTTCAATATATGAAAATATTTACTTTTTTAACTGAGCTATGTGCTTAATTAATATACTTTAATCTAAATTGAAAGTCGATCGCGACACATTTTATCGCCTCATAAACTTGTTTGACGTCAAAGATAGATGCTTGACTCAACCAAATTTTTTTAACAATGATCTAACTGAATTTTAACACTATACTTAACAAATATTTGAGAAATTTTTAAATTTTACACCCTTTCAAAAAATTGATGTATTTGACAAAAATATTTTTTTAATTACTTATAGTGTCCTCAACTTTATTTTATTTATGACGTTCAAAAAAATTACTTTAATTATGTATTGCAAAAAGTAAATTTCAATGAGAAGTAAAAATTGCTAACTCAAATTAGTAGTTCTCTAAGCATTCTATATAAAATATTGCTATGACTTTATTTTTATCTTTTATTTACGCTGATAATATATATGTTGTCGCAATTTTTGGCTAATTTTTTGATTAAAAATTTTACAACAAATTCCATGTACCAAAAATATCTAGCAGCACAATTTATTTATTTTTTTTTATTTATAATTAGATGTGTATTATTGAAAAAATGCCAGTATATCATTCTCAAAATTAATTCACGTTTTATCAAATTACGACTATTAGTCTAATTATTTTTTAACAATTTAATTAATACGAGTTTGGTTAGTAGTTGTATGGTAAGTGACTCGCTGATTTGATTAGTTCCAATAATTTTGCGTGCACAATATGTCAATAATTTCGTGGACCACTTTTAGGGTTTAAAAATAAATAAGGGACTTGTCTTGTTGATTTTGTACCATTTACAATTGAAATTTTTTGGTTACTTGAGAAGCAAAGTCTAGAAATAATATATTTGCAATGATACCCCTCAAGCTATGGAAAAATAGTATTTACAAACATGGAAAATGTTATCAGGTTTTCTTCCAATGTTCCATCCAAATGACCCTCCATCTCACCTCCCACGCTGCTTACCTAGTAGCGTTGCATAACTTTTGCAATTGGATCGTGTAAGAGTCCTTAGGATCGTCTCCATTGCTCATAAAAATTTGTGATATAAAGAAAATAGATGATTAAAAACCCTCTTCATTTTCCTTCTTCCTCTCCATTGTTCTATTTTAATTAGACATGCATTTTCATTAGACATCAATATTGGTACAATCTTTCAATTTGCCTACCGCGTAGATTACAAACCATAGAATGCATTGAAGCTGCCCTTAGTGTACCCGTAAATAAATCAATTCGATGAAGCGTTTTCACATAGACAGAGACATTTTACTTGTATGCATGTGTGACGCATTCTGAGTAAAAATATGATATTTTTGGAGATTTCCTCAATGAAGTCGAAGATGAATAATTGAAAAGATAGAATACTGCAAATTGTAGTGGGGAACGAATCTTTCTGTTAGTGAAAAAGTCTTTGATATGTTTTGATTAAGCATATCAATTATTTTGATAGATTACCAGTTAATTAATTCAATTTATAATAAATAAATGAGTTAATCTTTATATTATTGGGTTCTGATTGTCGAATATGTTTAGGCGTCAACATCTTTTTTGCTTGTAGAGTAGTTCATTGAAGCAAATACTTTTATATATAAATTTCAAAAGAATCCAATGATATTAAAGTGGTGTTCCCCACGAATTTAAAAAAAAAAGGTTTTGGAGACTGAAAAAATTGTATAATGGGGAGCTGTTGATTTGGTAACATCAATATTTAGGAGAAAGTCAACCGTTTGAAGATACATGTTGAACACAACCTCTCTAATTTTATGCTTGGTAAATTAGTATTCTCTTTCATATAATAAATTTTATAGGTCGGAGTTGAACCAACCAGATAAACTAACAATTTTAGTCAAAGTAGAAAAAGATTCGATTATAGTATATTCCTACACTTTTCATAAATAAAGACATTGCATTCTGTTGATTAAATAGATTAGTTAAATAGGTGTGTACAATGGGTTTAACTTATGGTTGGTTAGATGTATTTTGATAGTGTTATAATACATTTTATGTCGTGGTTTGACTCAAATTCTAGTGGGTATTAGAGTCTAAATTGAAGTGGTATTAAAGAGATCAAAATTATGGATCGAAAGAAAAAGTCGTTGCATTTTGTATCTTTCATCAAGAGATAAAAGGGTCACATTGGAGAATAGATTTGATAGCTATCGAGAGAGACTTTTAATTAAACAATGAACACCAACCAACATGAATGGTTTCAAATTATTACTTTAATTGGTACACTAAAAAGGGAATAACAAGTGGGATTCAACATTTTAACAATGTTTCTCACATTGATGAAAAACACATTTACTTAGAGTGTGTTTGGGACACATTCTTTTGAAAGAATGTATTATTGAATAGTAGATTGGAGGAGAATATGTGGTTAAAAATGAAGGAAAAGTTATTGATGTGATGGAAAATATTATTTTATTGAAGAAATTAAAAAAAAAAAAATTACAGTGTTTCCTGCTTCCTTTTTCAGGACCTTGTATGCAAAATTTGAGAACTGATGATCTTGCTCAATTTGGCATTAAGATCGAAAGAACATTCAACGTTCGAAAAATACAACAATTGAAAACACACCAAAAACAGAAAGAAAGATATATAACATAGGAAAATCCGAATCAAATAGTCATTAGGGCTAATCTAGAAGCAGTGCAACCGAATGTGACTGCAGCTAATGGAAATGCAAGGTTAATGGGGGAGTACATAGTTCCATTGGTTGTGGAAAGTCAGTCAGCATAGTATATCTGGCATTTGATCGGGCAAACTTCACCTGAGGACTCATGTAATCAACATATTCCAAAATGATCTACAATTCGTTAGGAGAGCTACGGATAATCTCAACGCTCATATACCAAGATTTTTGGACATGTGTGCAATTATTGAGTATCCGAGGTGTCCAATGAAGCAATCAAACTAAGGCTTTTTCCATGCACATTAAGAGACTCAACCAGAGAGTGGTTAGACACTTGTTCACAACAGAGCTGTTGGCAAATAATGATATTATCGTGCAATAATTTGAACAGAATATCGACTTGCAAAAATGAACAAAATAAAATGATAATAGTCAAGGCAAAAGTTCGAATCTTTCACCTTAAAACGATAATGCCATGCACTGATGTTGAAGGTATTCCAGCACTCGTCTCCCAAGATACAACAACATTGACTTGTAATATTAGAACTCCAAATTATAAGACCCGGCGAACCTACTAACATTTTTTCTCTCTCTAAAAAATCAAAGAACTAAAATGCATGAAATTAACTTTCGAGACCGAAATGCAAAATATGGAATAATGCAGGGATAATGGAATATAATTTGCAATGGAGAAAAATTAGAATAGATTTTGGAATGAATAAAATTTGAGGTATAGGGACTGGACCTTTATATAGAAGTTGAAAAGTTGTGTCCAAAAGACACAACAGCCGAAAAATTATATCTTCAACAGACAACCCGTTTGGACATGCAATTCAACTGTCAACTGCCAGTTTCTAGAAGAAGTCATGTGTCGCATACATAAAATTTGGGGCCCAAGGCCACGAGACGGCCGGTCGGACGGATGGAACCTACTAGCATGTAGGTTCTCTCCCATTCAAAGACTATTGGTATCCATTGGAGCCCAAACTCAAGTCTCAAATTTGAGCAATATAAAGTGATTTTTATTTTTCTAATTTTCCTATGTAAGATTATAATTTTTCAATTTCCAACCAATTTTTATTCTTAATGTATTTCAACTTCAAGTGGTCATTTTTTGTCTTAATTTCTCATTCACCCTAAATTGATTTTAAGAAAATAAATACATTATATTAATCTACTCATGGAGTAGAACACACTTAGCCAAAAAAATCTTTTGTCCAACTAATGGGACCTACTAAAATAATTGGTCAGTAACGAGAGTTCCCATGGCTACCTTCAGTTTTGATGGTAGTAATAGCTTATGGTTGCACATGTTCCATTAGCTTATTGCTTGGTCGCACAACAAGTTCATTTCTTGGTCGATCGACAACCACTGCAATCTCCAATGGTGATGATTTGTAGATGGAATCTCATTGCTTGGTCGAATGACAACAAGCTAATTGCTTGGTTCAAGCGACAATAACTGTAATGACCATGATTTCCAGTCATTCAATTTGGGTATAGTCAATTCAAGAAAATATCACACATAGAAGTTATTTCTGATTTGAAAAGTGAAGCACTGTATATCCTCCTTCTCGATTCCAAGTAACCATGAAAGGAGCATAGCATCCTTCAAGGTTATCTTTTAGCAAGTTTATCATCATCAGTAATCTGATGATGAAGGCCCAAGCTTTTGATTAATGGAGTGGTTGTTTTTGCTGCTAGATGTGGTGAATCTATTATGTGGAATCTCAAGCTACGTGGTCTCGGAAATGCTTTAGTCCAGTGATGAGCGTGCCCTGCAATGTTGGGTAGCCTCT